AATAATAATAATAACAATAACATACTAGATTGATATTTGATGACATTTGACAAATTTTTTAAACGAAACATTAAGGATAAGGATCTAATTGCAATGTACGTATAATACGAATTGTACAGTGGTATTTAATTATTTGGTTGGGGATAAGTGGGCCCAAGATGCCTTCAGAAAAACTGACAGCCGTTCGAAATGTGGGGCCGCCTTTTTATTATATTGATCAGAGTACCGAAATTAATATTAATTGGATTTGAAGAGACAGGAGCCGTCCATTTAAAGCATTGGCCTGTACGGCATGACTGATTCAAATAATTGAAAATTTTTTTTTAAGCATTGGATTGAATTTTGTTTTTGGATTTTTTCTGTCCAGATTACGTGTAAATTAATAGTATAATTAATATATATTTTTTTATAAATAATTTATATAAAAATAATAAAAAAACTAATTTAAATTTAATTAATTAATTAAAATTATTTATTAGTGAACCTTTTATGTTCTACATACAAACTCATTTTCTAGGATGACTAGAATAACTATTCTTTACCATCTTAAACTTAATTATCCTCCATGAATCCATTGTATTTTGGTTTTAACTATTATATTTTTTTGATACATAATAATGGCTGTAGCAATGTTTAAGGTTTCAGTTTGATTTAGTTTTTAGTGATTCTTCAATTGAACTAATTTAATAGTTCTAAGTAAATGTGTAATTAATCCAATATGTTCAATATTGTTCTATGATTGCACTAATCAACTTTAAGTTAGTTCTAATTAGATTGATTGTTCCGGCTTCATATCTCTTCCACTACTTAATAATCAATCCATCTCAAAATAATTATTAGTTTTTTATTTTATTTTGAATTTTATTTAAATTAATTATTATTTTTTATTTTTTTATTATTTTAATTAATTAGTCTTTTACAAAAATCTCTCTAAATACATAAATTGTATCTAAATCTTTAATTAAAAAAATAAAAAAGAATCAATTATTTTAAAATAAAAAAGTAGTCTTTGCAAATAAAAAAACTATTGTTTTGTATAGAATAAAAAATCATATTGTTCAATTTTATGAAATTCTCCTTACATTAAAAAAAAAAAAAACCTCTAATGATTTTGCTAATCAATTTGATTCTAAATAAATTTTTGTAATGATAAACTGAATATCGATTACTGCATGACATGTGATTCTCCATGATATGATACCATAATTTTGCTACAACGTATTTCAACATAAAAAAAAGCTGGGTAACTTCTCGTGATTGCATCCATGATTTATTAATGAGTTTTCTAACTCCTGTATTTAGGATACATAATAATTTTTTAATTATAAATCTATATTAAAAAATAAAAAATTTAATTTTTAATTTGTTAATTATTTAATTTTATTTATTTATTTTTTTTATCAATTTACAATTTAAGAAATTAAGATAGAGATTTTTTAAAGTTTTAATGGAATTTAAAATTTTGATAATCTAATTTAACTTTTTAAATTTAAAAACGAATCACTTATACTCAAAAGATTCATTTCATTTAATTAAATTTATTTACTTAATATAAATATTAAAATTTATATTTTTTATATATACCTATGATAAAAAATACTTTTAAAAACACAAATTAAAAACCATGCTTCATATTTATTTATGGTTTTTTTTTTAAATATATTGTGTTTTTCAAATTAAAAAAAAAAAGAAGAAAAAAGCATGGCTGTATTGCAATTTAATAGATTGCGGAGGGTATATAGAGTATTCCGTAGCTGATATTTTATTTTTATTTATACACCACCAACTTTTTCTTTCTTTTTATTAAAGGACCCGAAATATTAAGAAAATTATGATTCTCACCCACCTTACCCAATCTATTTGATAGAAGGCTCCTGTTTTTTCATCAATTCACTGTCGCCTGTTTCTCCATCTGCTTCCATAAAACATTTCCAAAAATACTCAGAAGTCTTCTGATTACAGTTACCATTCACTGCATCAGACATTTATAGCTTCAGATTTCTTTTAAAAAGTTCATGAGTTTTGAGCGATCAATGACTTGGGATTCAGTCAGTTCTGTGCTTTTTGTGGGTCTTTCAAATCCAAGCTAGTTTGATTCTGAGGGGACTTGTTTTGGGTTCTTTTGGAGGTTTTTCATCTGGGTTTGGCAATTGAAATGTGGAGTAGCTGGCGATTTTTCTGGGTCTTAAAGCCGATTGGGAAATCGCAGGTGATTTGATGGAATTGGAGGTGTTAATGCTAGCGGTTTTCGACATTTCATGGAGATTTCAGTCCGCCGTGGTTCATGGGTGGGATTCAGATTTGACAGTAAGCTTCAATTTGTTGCCGTTTTACTCGAGGTGAGCTACGGTAGCTGTTCCGATTTCCCGCCGAGATTTTCAGCCCTTTTTCTGTTCTGTACTGTTAGTTTTGATTTAGTTCCTTTAATGTGGAGTTAGGGATTGATTTAAAAATATAGGCTGTGTTCAGTGAAAAATGAGTGAAAATTTTACAGAAATTTGAGATTTTGTGGCTAAAACTGAACGTTACGATTGGAGTATACCAAACGGAAGTATTTGTGTAGTGAAATTTGATTCCAAAGGGGAGAAGGGGCCTTTTAGTTATTAATAATTTTTTCAAGTCCTTACTTTGTATTAGCTATTTCCCTCCGCCAAAATTTTGTTATTGCTATTTTCTTTTTGGAAAATATGGGTTTAATCTAATTTACTTGCTTTTGGTGTTTTAGTACAAATCAGAAGCTTAGGGTTTGGCCTTCTGAAACAAAGAGTTGCATAAAAGGAGCTGAATTAAGCATATGGGTTTACAAAATTTTATCCTTTTGCTCTTATTTGGTTATTAGCTAGTCTCAGCTGGTGTTTATCAGATCTTTTGGTTTCTTTAGTAAGTGCCATGTTGTAGAAATCCTGTTTTTCCTATAATACATTGGCATTTTCTTTTCCTTGTTATCAGAAAGAAACATTAATTCTTGAGGTCTTTATTGATTTGTGTATCTGTGTTTTATGCGTCAGCTTTTGCTGATATTGTCATGGTTTGAAGCTGCTACTGGAAAATATCTGGAGGAACAGCAGCATCAGAAAGACCCAGAAAGAGGAAGCAGAAACATTGTCTCACATTCATGCATTCATGACCAGATACTTGAGGAGAGGCGGCGACCAGGTCGCAAGGTTTACTCAGTTACACCCCAGGTTTATGAGAAACCTAGTATTGCGAATCCCCTCCATAACAGAGGAAGGGCATTGCTCAGTATCTCTAATTTGCCAGGGGAGCGAGGCAATGCAAAGCAACCTATAAGAATATATTTAAATTATGATGCTGTAGGCCATTCTCCTGACAGAGACTGTCGAAATGTTGGTGACATTGTTAAGGTTGGTGTTTTGGGTTGCTTGGGAAACTCCATTCTATTCTTTATGGCTCTCATTGCAGTATAATTAATATTTTCTTGACTTATTTCTTTTTCATTTAACTTTGTTTATTACTATCTTCCCCCCTCTATAACCAGCTCGGTGAGCCTCCTATTAGTTCTCCCTCTGGCACTCCCTCTTGCAATCCTCATGGTGATCCTCCAATTTATGGTGACTGTTGGTATAACTGCACGTTGGATGACATATCTGGGGAGGATAAACGTCGCCGCCTTCGCAAGGTTTTATTTATGTTTCATCACCTTCCATTCTCTCATCATTTGTTTATGATCTAACAGAAGCTAACTTTTTATATAAAAAATTTTGAAGGCTCTAGGGCAGACAGCAGATTGGTTCAAAAGAGCCTTAGCTGTCGAGCCTGTGAAGGGGAACCTGCGGTTGAGTGGATATTCTGCATGTGGACAAGATGGTGGTGTACAGCTTCCTCGGGAATATGTTGAAGGTATCTCTTTGCAACTGAGCTGCTTTCTTTATGTTCCCTTTTCTCACCATTTTTGTTGTAATGGATTTCTTATACTGTTTATTCTTATGTAACTATTTTATATTTCAAATTTTGTTTGCAGAGGGTGTTGTTGATGCAGACTTGGTTCTGTTGGTTACTACAAGACCTACAACTGGCAATACTCTGGCGTGGGCAGTAGCATGTGAGCGTGATCAGTGGGGCCGTGCAATTGCTGGTACATTTTTAATTGAGTGTCACCCTTTGGATAATATGCTTATATCTTCTAGCTGATAGGTGAAATTGAGCATATTGTACTCCTACTTTATAGGACATGTAAATGTTGCTCCTCGACATTTAACAGCTGAAGCAGAGACTTTACTTTCAGCTACTCTTATCCATGAGGTCTGTTGATTTGTGAATTAATGATTGTGGAATTTTTTTAAGGAACTTTCTTATACTCAATTCTTTTTCATCCTAATGCAGGTTATGCATGTGCTTGGGTTCGATCCTCATGCTTTTGCCCATTTTAGGGATGAGAGAAAAAGGAGGCGTAATCAGGTATAATAAATTTTAGAGATTAAGGGATGTATCTGTATTTGTCTTCCAAAGGATATTAGGAACAGGTACTTGGATAGTTGAATTTCTGAAAATGAAACCCTCAGGACTTTCTTAATTGATCCATTCAATGAAGCCTACTTGAACATTGGTACTCTATTTTAATTTTAAAATTTTCCAACTGTCTTTTGTTGGGCCACTTAGCTTGGTAATCTATGTATTTCATGGACTCTCATTTTTGGACCATGCCATCTTGATTACCTTTATTTGCAGGTCACTGATCAGGTCATGGATGAAAAACTTGGGAGAATGGTCACACGGGTGGTGCTCCCTCGTGTTGTCATGCACTCAAGATATCATTATGGGGTATCTTCAACTTCTTTGATGCTGGAGCTTGATGGCATTATATCTTTGAAATTACAACCTGAAATCAAACCATAAGTTGACCCTTGTCTCATTGGCAGGCATTCTCTGAGAATTTTACTGGTTTAGAGCTTGAAGATGGGGGAGGTCGTGGAACATCAGGTTTCTATCACATCCCACCTCACACTATCCCACACAAACATGCATGCTAATTGCTAAAACATGCTAAAGAAAGAGAACAATGAAAAAGGAAAACCAGAAGACTTACAGGGAAAAGAAGCCTCGAATCAGTGTATTTATTTTGTGACAAATGGAAATTTCAGCTGTGGATTTACCTCTCAATTATATCTGAAAACCAGTTTAGGATATATGCAATAATATAATTTTACTGGAAATTGTTTGGTTACAGAAAAAGAAACAGTGGACTCAATTACATATTAGGTGCTGGGATTATCTAGGGAAGAAGAGCTTTGGGATCTTTGAATCTTACTAAATGTTGAGCATGTTTTATTTTAAATATTTGATTTTTAACTGCCTGCAGGATCTCACTGGGAAAAAAGGCTTTTGATGAATGAGATTATGACAGGGTCAGTGGATACAAGATCAGTAGTTTCAAAAATGACTTTGGCTTTATTGGAGGATAGTGGCTGGTATCAAGCCAACTATAGGATGGCAGAGCATCTTGATTGGGGTCGCAATCAAGGAACTGAGTTTGTCACTTCTCCTTGCAATCTCTGGAAGGGGGCATACCGTTGCAACACTACCCAGTTCTCTGGTTGTACATATAACAGGGAAGCAGAGGGTTACTGTCCGATTGTAAGTTATAGTGGGGATCTTCCTCAGTGGGCTCGTTATTTTCCACAGGCTAACAAAGGTATGCCCTTCTGATTTATTTAGGTTAATCTTATCTTGTGCAAGGTTTACATATGGATCCAATTTTTTTAGGCCTAACAGCATCATAGTCTTAATACAAGGTTCTATTAACTTTTTCTTACAGGTGGTCAGTCCTCACTAGCTGATTATTGCACTTATTTTGTGGCCTATTCTGATGGATCATGTACGGACCCAAACAGTGCACGGGCCCCAGACAGAATGTTAGGTGAAGTGCGAGGGAGTAACTCCAGGTGACTGCATTAGATTCCTAGAGGCTTTATCAAATAACAGGAACATGCTTAAAGACTTTCCCATACATAGTATTATTGATAAATTTGTTCATTATTACTTAGGTGTATGGCTTCATCATTAGTACGTACTGGTTTTGTGCGAGGTTCTATGTCCCAAGGAAATGGCTGCTATCAGCACAGATGTATGAATAATTCATTAGAGGTAAGAGTTTGTGAAACCATCAAATGAGTAAGTCTGTACATTGATGAATGGTTGGTAAAACTTTAATGCAAAAATGGAAGCAGGCATGCATTCCATGAAAGATTTTTCATTTTGTCTACTCTGGGGGGCATATAGTCTAAATATTTTAGTATTTATGCAACTGCCAAGTGAGTTTCAGATTGCCTGTTTCTTAATGTTAGCATGGCTTTACATAGTTTCTTAATGCCCTTACCCCTCCTCTCCTCAAAGCCCCATCTCTGCAATGCATCTCACACTGCAATTGTTATTTTCTATTTTCTAGGTTGCTGTTGATGGTATTTGGAAAGTCTGTCCTCAAGCTGGTGGACCAATTCAGTTTCCAGGTTTTAATGGTAACTCTGCCTGTTTATCTCCCGTTTTTAATCACATAATATCCATCCATTTGCCTCATGATCTTCTGTGATGCCTGTAGGTGAACTGATTTGTCCTGCTTTCCATGAACTTTGTGGCACTGGACCTTTTCCTGTATCTGGACAGTGTCCCAATTCTTGTAATTTCAATGGGGACTGTGTTGAGGGAAAGTGTTGTTGCTTCCTCGGGTTCCATGGTCATGATTGTAGTAAACGTGAGAAGCAAGATCCTTCTTTATGCCATTCTATAGCCAGTATGCTGGATATAACATATTTAGCAAAAATTCTCTTTTGAACTACCCTTTGTAGTCAATTGACAATTATCTCGTTTATTCAGGATCTTGTCCCAGTCATTGCCATGGTCATGGCAAGTGCCTGTCAAACGGGATCTGTGAATGTGATAATGGTTACACTGGCATTGACTGTTCCACTGGTAATGTGCTACCTCTATTTATTTTAATTTTAGATAATATACTTGTAATGGCAGACTGGTTGGTGTGACATTTACGGCCTCAGTTTGAATGACATGGCTAAGAAAGATGACTGCCATATACAGTAAATCCGATATCCTTTTTATCTAACAATTTTTTGGCCTTATGATCTGCAGCTGTCTGTGATGAACAATGTAGCCTTCATGGTGGGGTCTGTGATAATGGAGTTTGTGAATTCCGCTGCTCTGACTATGCAGGCTATAAATGCCAGAACAGCTCCTCTCTTCTGTCTAGTCTTTCAATCTGCAAAAATGTGCTCAATAGTGATTTATCTGGACAGCATTGTGCACCCAGTGAACCCAGTATATTACAACAGCTAGAAGAAGTGGTTGTCATGCCCAATTATCACCGTTTATTCCCCGGTGGTGCTAGAAAGATATTTAATAATCTCTTTGGCAGCAGCTACTGCGATGCAGCTGCCAAGCGACTTGCCTGCTGGGTAAGTAGCCTTGGCCTTGCACTTCCCTCTGTTTTCAGGCACAGTGTTAGCCTCTTAGCAATCTAAACTGAGATTATAATTTTATTTTTTTTAATACTCATCATTCTTTATACATTACCAGATCTCCATACAGAAGTGTGACAAGGATGGGGATAACAGGCTCCGCGTATGCTACTCAGCATGCCAGTCTTATAATTTAGCATGTGGAGCATCACTTGACTGCTCTGACCAAACCTTGTTTAGCGGTGAGGAAGAAGGAGAGGGTCAGTGCACAGGCTCCGGTGAGATGAAACTTTCATGGTTTAATCGCCTGCGGAGTAGTTTATTTTCAAGAGATGAATCTATGAAAGCAATGTCTGTAAAATAGAAGCAGCTTTAGCCATTTTTTCTTCTTTTCTTTTCTTTTCTTTTCTTTTCCTCCCCCTTCCTGTTCTAAATTTGGGTGGGAGTAGTGGTAATTGTTTTAGGAAGGTTGGCACATAATGCAGTGTCCTAAATTTGTAGGTTTTGTGCTTTACCCAAAAGTCATGTCGAAAATTTGGGTGGGATTTTGAGCTTTCCAAGATGAAAGCCGGTTGTAGAGAAAATTCGAAATGTATCAGTAAAGAAAAAAAGAAAAAAATGCGGAGGTTCGGCCGAAGGCCTTGAAAGAAAATGAAAAGCCTCAATTTTTGTTTGTTCGATGTTCGTCTTTTTTATTCTTTTATTTTTAAATATGAATTTATTTATACATGTCTTTTATATGCGGTTTAGTGCGTAATAATTTTAATTTTAAAAAAATAAAATTTTAATTTATATTTAAAAGTTGAAATTTTAATTTAATAATTAAAAAAATAATCAATTTTTAAATTTAAATATTAATAT